CATCCCAGAGGCCCGGCTGCAGAGGGCAGATAGGCAGGACACGGTGGATCTGATGGTGCAAAAATATGGCTGCAACGAAGCTCTGGGGATAACCATAAAGATTTTAGAGAAGATCAGCAGAAATGATCTGGTGCAGCATTTATCCAGTATCAGCTCAGGACTGAAAGGTAAGTTGAGAAGGGTAAAAATATAAATGTCTGAAAACCAACTTTCACACAGATCTTATAAATTATTACATTCATCATATTCATTGTTGGTTAAGTATAATGTTCAAACAATAATAATGTGAAAATAGCAATTTACACAACACCACCAAAAGCTGTGGAAGACTGACAAGATGTGTGAATGTCCTGCTCTGCTTTGTTTTAGTCTTCAAGAACCAAGATTCTGCTCTTCTCAAATGTGAGTATGAAAGAAAGAAGGCTGAGCTGGGGGAGACAAAGGCTGTAATCAAGCTGATGATCCAGGAGAGACAGATGAAGATCCAGGAAATCAAACGCTCAGCAGAACTCAGCAGGAAATCTGCAAACAGACACACCGCAGACAGTGTACAGGTCTTCGGTGTGTTGCTGCAGTCGGTTCAGAGAAGTCTGGATAATCTCATCGAAGCAATTGCAGAAAAGCAGAAAACAACACAGAAACAGGCCAAAGGATTCATCCAAGAGCTGGAGCAGGAAATCTCTGAGCTGACTAAGAGAAGTACTGAGGTGGAGCAGCTGTCGCACATCAAAGACTGCTCCCGGGATGCTATTCCCCCCACCAAGAACTGGACAGAAGTCAACATCCCACCTCCACCATATGGACGAAGTGTTGGGAGTGTTGTGACTCAGTTGAAGGAAGAATTCATCAATGGGACTGAGAAGTTGATTGCAAAAGCCAAGCTGATCAGGGTCCAGGAGTATGCTGTGGATGTTAGTCTAGATCCTGACACAGCAAATGCCCACCTCATTTTGTCTGACAATGGGAAACAAGTTTGCTGTGGTGATGTAGAACAAAATCTCCCAGACAATCCAGAAAGATTTAATCCTGCTGTCAATGTCTTGGGAAAGCAGAGTTGCTCTTCAGGAAGATTTTACTACGAGGTTCAGGTGAAAGGGAAGACTTCCTGGGATTTAGGAATTGCCAAAGAGTCAGTCAGTAGGAAGGGGTCAGTCACAGCAGGCCCCAAGACTGGCTACTGGACTATAGGTTTAAGGAATACAGATAAGTACATAGCTTCTGGTGTCAATCTCAGTGTAAAACATCCACTGAAGAAAGTGGGTGTGTTTGTGGATTATGGTGAAGGTTCAGTCTCCTTTTTCAATGTAGATTCTGCAGACATTATCCACTCCTTTACTGACTGTTCCTTCAGTGAGAAAATCTATCCATTCTTCAGTCCTGGTCATCATAATCATGGTAAAAACTCCACCCCTCTGATCATCTCTCCTGTCAATAACATTGATTAGATCTGACCAGTCATCCAGTCAAAACAGATTCTGCCATTCTTCCAAATGTCATCAGTAAGTGTGATGTTTGTGATTAATAAATTAATCACTCTTCATGATTTGATCAATAATAATGTAGGAGATGAGGGAAATGATTTGAAACAGTCTAAAAATGTAATGGGGTTTGGTTGTAGTGCCATGTTTTGCCACTAGATGGTGCCACTTCCTGTTTGATGACATGGAGTTACAGATGTGTGCTGCCTTGCTCTGATCCCTTGCCACAGTCTCCAGGTCTTTCTCCAGAAGGGGGAGTTGGTATGTTCATATCTATATTCTACCACTCATGTCTGTAGGGGTGGCTGTGTCTGGCAATGAATAATGGTTGATGTGTAACACGCAATAAATGAACAGTGTGCAAATCCCTAACTTTGTGTGTCTGTTGGCTTTCCAAGCTAGCTTGTGTTGAAGAAAACATTTACTGAAACTTACATGAAACTTAAACCAGGGATCATTAAAGGCCAGGCACCAGCCACCTTATAGCAACAAGGATCCTGGAACATTTTTAGAAATATAACATTTGGGGAAATATTGCTCTGACACCAGGAATCAGCCACAGTGGGGCTTTTACCATCATAGGCACCTCAGGGTACAATAGGGTAACCTACAATCAATGGGATCAATATATTCTTAATTGAATCTTCTGTATAGAAGCCAGTATGACAGAATATATAGCCAAGTTGTGCATGTTTGTGAGGGAAGCCCATTCAAAACATACAATACAAGGATTTTCACAGGTAAAGTAACAAGAAAAGTAATAATGACAAACATGAATGGGGATTTTTTTAAGTTTTTATTTTTTAAACATAAAAGTTAAAGTCCAGTCACCAAGTCACTGCATTTTCTTCCATCAGTACCAACCACACAGGTATATATGTCTGCCTGCCACATTACCAATAAGAAACTATCATCAATGGAGGTGTTCAGGCTGGAACACATAAGGAAATAAAATAAAATTACACTCATGAACACTATTATGTTGATGTACAGCACTGGCCCCAGGATAAAGTACTGATGGATGCCATATATTAACAAAGTGTTGGACAGACTGAAGGACCCCAATAATAAGGCTGGACTCCTAGATGCCATTATAATGCAACAGTAGGCAAATCACAAAGAGCTTACATTACATAAAATGTAAAAAGACTACCTGAGAAGTAGGACTACCACTTCTTAGCCCAATTATTAGGCATTGTTCCCTGTCTGGAAATTATGCGGCAGGCATGTTGTGTCCAAGGACAAAACATTTGGGTTTTTAACAACAGCATGTAGGTCAAGAATTAGTCATAAACACTTTATTTTGTTGATATACAGACTTTGAACCGGGAAAAAGTAGGGATGGATGTCATTCATTAACAAAGTGTTAGACTGAAGGACCCGAACAATAATGCAGGACTTAGAGGTTGTTATCGTTTGCTGACTGGAAATTATGTGGCAGGCATGTTGCGTTAAAGAACGAGACAATTTAAGAAATGTTGCTCGGCAAGGGAGTTTCTTCATGTCTGTCCACAGTGCATCTCCTGGTCAGTCAATTCAAAAAGTGATGAGTCAGCTTAGTTAATATGAGTGTTCTGATGTGTTTTCCTGCCACAGCGGAAAGAGAAAACAGGTGTAAAGCATCTCCTGATGTCTTACTGCAAAGAACTGGTTCTGTAAAGCCAGTAACCCTGGTATTACAGAAAATCACCAGTATCATTGAAAATGACTATCCAAAAATATACACAAAGCCTTTTCTGACCACCTGCAAGAGCTGGTTTGAGAATGTGACCAATAAAAATGAATGATGGACTTCTGTTGGTCGCACTACACAACACAAATGTGTAATTTATGCTTTTATGGGAGTTTCTGGGGGACAGCAACATCTGAAGTTTTAAATTATACACGTAGTGGTGTCATATATTTTGTAAGAGTTTGGCCCTTTGTAAACTATAGCGTCACAGTTAATACATAACAGCTTACAGTTTCATTTTACAATCACAATCACAAATCATTTATTGCCAGATATGAGGTTTATAGAGTCTGTCCTTTCATTGTAATAAATGTTAAATATTGACATATTGACTAGATTGAACAAAGCAGAGACAACAAACTATTGAAAAGAGGTAGATAAAGTAAAGCTGCAGACACTACTTTTTGTTTTTGTCTGAAGACAATTTAAAGTCAGATTTCCAGTCTTTGCCTATTAATAAAAATATTCAATATGTAAATATGTAAAGAGATGGTACCATCAGAAGGTTATACCTGTTAACATATATTTGTTGTATTAATAATCACTGGAGAATATTTTGAACATCTGACATTCAGAAATTGACCTTGTTTTTAAAAAATATGATTGGATATATTTATCATCAAGGTAAGGAACTGGTTGATTTCCCTACATACATACATATTGTAACAGCCATTTGTTTATGTGTGTGTTTATTATTTGTTGTTGTAAACATTGTTGGTACTGGGGGTGGCGCTGTGGGAAGTTCCTGTGGGAAGTTCATTTATACATCCAGGCTAATGAGGCCAGGTGTGCGTGAACTGAGGCAAACAGTTTTTGACCGTGGCTGAGGCACGGCTGAGGTCTGGAGATAGGAGCAGTATTAAATAATAGGCTACCGGATTGCCAAACGGATGTGCTGTACTTTATTGTGCTTATGTGTGGAAGCAATAAATAGAGCAAAGCAACGGGAATTGTTTGGACAATGTTTATTGGGAGCCAAGCCCAGTGCGCGTCAATTAATTGCACCGGCACGCACCTGCAGTAAGTGACAGTGGAAAGACACTTACACATATTCCTTATTACTTTGTAATCATTTATTATTAAAACTATTTGAGTTTGTCCCCCTGAAACGTGACAATTCAGATAATTAGTTAGTGCTGCAAGTCTCTACAGTTAATGCAGCGGTCATGAGTCTGATTTTATTAAACTTCCACAAGAGACACAGAGGACTTTTACACCTGTTTCTAAAGGCTGAGTTGCAATCCTTAAATTCTGAATGTTACATATTTTGCTTTGTTACAATATCCATAACAGTGTTTCCTCTACATTAATTTAATAGTGGCGGCCCGTAATGTTCACACTTGTAATCAGATGTGATGTGAGTGTAAACTATATATTGCTGAAAATCAAGTGCTCTGAGCCTGGGTGCAAACTTTGCCACTGACTCTACAGCCCCATGTAGCTGATCTTTATATGTTTATTTATTATTTATTTAATGTTATTGTTTTATATATTTTTTACTTTTTACATTTTCAACTGGTTAGAGTTGAAGTAACATTTATTTTTCTTGACATTGTATATGGCTGAGATATATATTGTAAAAGTTCAATGGTAGCGATAAAAGCATATTCAACTGGCCAGCCAATAAATAGGTTTTGAAAGTAAAATCTGCTGTCAACTGCTCATTTGAGTATGCCCCCCTGTGTAAATCCATAAAATGATAAGTGGGGATGTTCATCAAATGGTAGTAATGTTTCAGTTGGGGAGGAGACTCACTGCAATTTCTTTAACAGGAAGTCTAGCAGAGACAGTCAAGGCCAGGACAGTAACCACCTCTCTCCAACCGAGGATCATAACTTATATATGGTTCACTAGCTGTTAGACAGAACAATCTAAATGTATTGCTCATCTTTCTACATCTGAAAGACTCTGTGGTGAATTCAATTTGGTGAGTTTTTAAAGTGTTTATTGTTTGAATGGATGTTGCATGTCTAATTTTTACAGTGTATAACTTGTATCATTGTCTCTGCTGTCTAATTTTGATTTTGAGGAGAAAACTTTTTCATGTCTATTTCTGTCCTGGAATCAGCCGAACTAAATTGGCAACACTGTACTACTGTGACAGTTTTGAATGGCTCCCAACATGAACAAAACTGAAGCTGAAACACAGGATGAATCTGCAGCGGGTCTCTACGGGGTTAGAAATGTTTCATTATCAGCTACTGGCCTTCTGCAGTGTAGAGCAGGGTGCAGATGGATTGTTACTGATAAAGTCAAAGTGTCTCATCTTACTTTCGATTTGGCCCTCGGAGCCAACACAGCATCTGTTTAAACTGTTTGAAAGTGTGCAACATAAATATTTACTCAAATCACATTCTATGTATGACTGCCTATATGTATATATTTATATAACTGAATCTTGCTGTGTGAACAAAGGGTAAGGAAGTAAAGGAGCAGAAAACTTGCAGACTGATTCTACCAGGAACTGTATGTGGTTTTAACAATGAGAGAGTGAATGAGGTTATGATTTCTCCTCGGGTGTTTAAGGTCTCTCTTTTAGTTGGCTAGCTAGCAAACTCAGGCAAGTTTGATTTTTACACCTTATAATGTCACAATGTTCAGCTACTGGGTTAAAATAGATTTCCTATCTTGGTCTTAAGCCCAGTTTATGGTCTCACAGAACTAGTCCTTGAGACGTGCTTTCCGACCACATCAGAAACCAGAAGTGTTTATAATTGAACAGCCAAACTGGAGGAAATGAAGTGAAAAGTCAGTTGACAGAGAGAGGGGTGTATATGATATTGTTTTAAAAAAAGAGTCTCTCCTGAAAGACATTAATAGTGTCACATAAAGTTGTGTTAGAAATTTAAACTAGAACTACTGCCTTACATTCGCATGCCTCTGCCAACTAGGTAAGTTGCAGGAAATGGAGATAAAACACTGAGTAAATGTTTTTGTGGAACATAATGAACTCACAGTGAAGTTGACCTTTGATCATTTGGATGTAAAATGTCCTTTCGTCTAATCATTTTAGAAAATTGACTTAAATTATGTCATAATTAGTAAGCATGTATGAATTTGTGAACTTGACTTTGATTATAAAATGTTCAATATACTGTCAATATACTTCATTTCTCTTGCAGGTTTTGGCATCTAGCTCAACCACAGTGTCACCAACAACTGTAGCAGCACTGGCTGATAGAGGAGGGTAGGTCCTTCTGTTCCTAACATTGAGAATGACACTGAATGACTGTCAGCTCCTGATCAGCAGCTGACCTCTGACCTCTGAGTTTAAGCACTAGGAATGACCATGGTGAAGTAGCTAATCATTATTACTTTCATGGCAGTAGTCCAGTGTTATTAACTGATCATTCATGATCTTCTGTAGAGGTATGTGAGGTAAAGTATGTTGTTTGATTTAAACTTATTCTGTTCCAGTATAAATACAGACTGTGATACAAGAGAACAGTAAGTAAGAGAACAGCACTATGTTGAAAACATGATAGTGCCTACTGTAATTCATAGAAACATGAAGCAACATTGGATCAAGCAGGAGACGAATTTCATTTAAGATGCACATATACAAAAGTCTGATGGGAAAATTTCTCATATTTACAGCAGGAAGCCATAATGGCGACACTTAGAGAGGAGCTCTTGAATATTCTGCTGGATTTAAGTGAAGACCAGTTTAAGCTTTTCAAATTTCACCTGAGAGACAATGGCATCCCACGGGCTAACCTGGAGAAGGCAGACAGGCTGGACACGGTGGAGCTCATGATAAATAAATATCCTGATCGTGGAGCTCTGGAGTTAACCTTGATGATTTTAAAGAAGATCAGCAGGAATGATCTGGTGGAGCGTTTGCAAAACTTCAGACCGAAAGGTGCGTTGGGTGAAGATAAAAAGAATAACTTCTGAAAAACAGTGGTATCACATTCATCACAGTTATCACAAGTTATGAATTAAAATATTCTATTAATAGATATTTGTTTACAAAAAATAATGAATAATAATTATTTGTCTTTCTTTATAATATGTCCTGTGACTCCAATTAACTCAAATTAATCGGAACAAATCGCAGGCCATTTTGAATTAGTTTAATGTTGATTTTTTGAAATAGTGACAGTGAAGAAAAAAGTGACAAAAGAGCTCATGATTTATTGAGGTTAAATCCTTGAGATCTGAATGAAGAAGTCATAAACCTAAACAAACATGTTGATTAAAGTGAAAAAAGTCTGCAGGTTAAAATATTACTGCATTGCAACTGTTCTGTAAGACTGACTGTGTATGTGTGCTTTGCCTTTTTTTAGACTTCAACCCATTTCATGTTGGTGCTCACACAGAAAGATCTAACAGAAAGAAGGCCAGACCACTAATGTGGGTCCAGCAGTTTGCAGTGGAAGTGACTCTGGATCACGATACAGCACACCCCAATCTTATCGTGTCTGATGATGGGAAACAAGTACATCATGGTGATTTCAGGAAGAAACTACCAAACACCCCTGAGAGATTTTACAGCTGTGTAAATGTTTTAGGAAAGCAGAGTTTCTCCTCTGGAAGATTTTACTATGAGGTTCAGGTTAAAGGGAAGACTGCCTGGACTGTAGGAGTGGCCAAAGAGTCAATCAAAAGGAGGGGAAATATCACACTCAGTCCTGAAAATGGTTTCTGGACCATGGATTTGAGTGATGGAGATGAATACATAGCTATTGATGAACTAGTAGCTCATCTCTCTCTGAAGTCTAATCCAGAGAGGGTTGGAGTGTTTGTTGATTATGAGGAGGGTCTGATCTCCTTTTACGATGTAGAAGCTGCAGATCATCTCTACACCTTCACTGGCTGCTCCTTCACTGAGAAACTCTACCCATTCTTCAGTCCCTGTACTAATGACAAAGGTAGAAACTCTGCCCCCTTGATCATATGTCCTGTCAAACACAATGAAGAATATGAAAGAAAGAAAGCTGAGCTGCAGAGTGTGCAGCAGTTTGCAGTGGATGTGACTCTGGATACTGATACAGCACATCCTGCTCTCATCCTGTCTGATGATGGAGAACAAGTACGTTGTAGTGATGTGAGAAAGAAACTCCCAGACAGCCCTAAGAGATTCAATAGTTGTGTTAATGTCTTAGGAAAGCAGAGCTTCTCATCAGGAAGATTTTACTTTGAGGTTCAGGTTAAAGGGAAGACAGCCTGGACTGTAGGAGTGGCCAAAAAGTCAATTGACAGGAAGGGGAATATCACACTCAGTCCTGAAGATGGTTTCTGGACTGTATGGTTAAGGAATGGAGATGAGTACATGGCTAATGATCACCATCCAGTCCGTCTCTTTCTGAACCAGCATCCTCGGAAGGTGGGGGTATTTGTTGATTATGAGGAGGGTCTGGTCTCCTTTTACGATGTAGAAGCTGCTGATCATCTCTACAAGTTCACTGGCTGCTCCTTCACTGAGAAACTCTACCCATTCTTTAGTCCCTGTACTAATGACAACGGTAGAAACTCTGCCCCCTTGATCATATGTCCTGTCAAACGCAACAATTAGATTACTCCTGCTGTCCTTTAAAGGCCTCAACACCCACACAGCTGTTTTGTATTATTCCAGTCGAGTTGTGACAAAACCTAAAACACAGCGCCAGTAAGAATAATAAAAGTCTGTACTGACTCACTTTAAAGTACTTAGTGGTTTTTAACCGCTCATGGTGCTATAGTTTTGATGATGGTCACACTCGTTTATATCTTGTATTCAGTTGGCACATCAAAAACTCTGAGTGTACTACGAGTGTGAAGAGCTTTTAAATAGAATACTGTACTGACTTTGTATTTCAAACTCTACTGAATTTTGTTATTGTGTCATTTGTTTATTTTTATTTTTGATATAATCCATTGCTAAGTTTACTAATGTAAATCATCACTTTGTCCAAACTGTCTCATGTGCTCCAAAGGTTCAACTACACTTCAACTACTAGTGAGAAATGTGGGAAATTTTTTATTATCTTTTATTGTTTATACTTGTCAAATGTGGACACAAATGCATATTGAATGAAAATTGATTGACTGATTGATTGAATGAATATAGGAACTTATGGAAACATTTGTTTACTTATCAAGAACACAAGCTTTTGTTTTAAGTTGTGTTGAGAAACAACAGAAATCATATTTTTCAAGGTAAATTTTTCTACTGTAATCTAATGCTCTAAAATGGAATCAATGTAATGTAATTATTTTGTCATTATTTTCTGAGAATGTGAATTAAAAGAATTGTTTGACTTGACAATTACATGAAAATAAAGTGGCACTTAACAGTGTTTTTGTTGCATTATGAAAAAATTACAATTGACAAACTTCAGGAACTTTTCTTAAAAAAAAAAAAAAAAAAAAAAACCCAAACAATCTTAACTCTTCAGACTGACACTTCAACAACATAAGTTTGTAATATCTTCTCCTCCTCACAAGCTTAAAGAACATCACTTATTATATAACAAAAATATAACGAAAATTAGTCACTAGTTTAGCATAACTGTAGAGACAATTAGTGCATTACAACATGTCTGCATTAGACTTTAATGTATTACAGAGTTTAACTCATCAACTGCAAATGTCACTTGGTCAGGGAGCAAAGGGTGTGGAGTATGGATGGACTAATTTTGGCCTCCAAAGACTTTAATGTATACAGTGGTTGAGATATTAATACAGTGGATGTGAAAGTTATTAATATGAAAATTAACTGCATCCATCTCCAAAGAATTGTTTGATAGAATTAAAACAATGTGAGGAGAATCCAATCAATGTTTGATCAATGTCTTCAAAAACAAAAATCTTGTTTTGAGGAATTTCTCATTCAGTTTGTCAATTTATGCAACTTTATCTGCCTCTGTTAACTTTGTACATGTCCCAGTCTTGCCTCAGAGACAAGGATGCAAACATGAAAACTTAAGGTACATATAGTTTGCCTTTGCTTTTACAGGAAATGCAGGCTATGAACAATGCTGAGAAAGTTACAAAGGCAGGGAGTCATGTGACGGTTCTTAACATGTGGTAAAGCACTGCTAAAACTTCCATGAGAGGCCTCATGCTTAAGCCTGAAAGGGGGAAGTAATACCTTTCTCTGCACGTAAGCCTTCATCTTGCGGTTGTCACCCTGCAAAAACACTGACATTTTGACCTTACAAACAGACATACACGTTAAATTGACTCTGATGTTTCGCTTCTTAACTATGGGAAAAACTAAGATGAAGGAAGGAAGGAAGGAAGGAAGGAAGATCTTGCTTAAGCAGGGGAAAGTACTTCTCCCACCTTAGACATCAATGCTTTAAACTTAACTATCTTTTTTTCTGATGGAGTTTCAAGCTTTGTGCCTGTGCTCACGTAGAGTACACCAAATAAGGAAGCTGAGCTGAATGACAGAGAGTGAGGGCGGTCATCTGTACAAAACTAATGATGAGAAGTGGCATTTTTCAAGCTTTAGAGGAAGAAGAACAAGTCCAGATCAAGGGGACATCCACCTCTGCCTGACTGAATATCAGAGGCCAACTCCTAGGCAATGTTTAGCATTTACTTACCTCTAATAAGGAGCTTATGTTTTCTGTTGGTTTGTTTATTTGTCATCAAGATTATGCACAAAGTCCCGAATCAATTTGCACCAGACTTGGTGGAGGGGTCAGGGAACAGTCCATTACATTTTGGAGCAGATCTGCTTAAAGGGGACAGTTCCAGGAATTCCCTAACATTGTGAGATAGGGTATTTTTCCACACTTTCGATTTCTCTGGTCCTCATTATATTCATTATTTGTTTTCCCAGATGAGGTTCTCAGTCATTTAAAAAAGAATAAATGTTCATTCACAAACAGAATACTGCTTCACTTGATTACAATAATCCTAATCCCACGTTCAAACTGACCTGTTCAACCATCCAAGCCTCAAAAATAAATCCCTGTTGTCACACATGAGGAACATTTAAATATATAAAAATAAAAAGGCAAAATATTGGAGACAATAAGATTTATTTTTTCTTAGAATTGTAGATAAAAGAAATGTTCAAGTTCTCACTGAAAGTCTTCCATGTGGTTGGGATTGAAACTAAAATAACTGATTGAAATTAACACATAATCAGTAAATGCTCAAATTCAATTAATTATAGCTTAATATTTATACTTTTTTCGGGGTGTAAACTCTTTTACATGTTAAGTTTATTTTTACCATTTTTATTCAAGTGAAAACAGTGACACTCTCCATGTGCTAAAACAAAAAGCTGACAAGAAATTTACCTCTAAAATCAAATTTGTGTTTTTATTTTTCTACTTAAAGTTTAAACTCTTAGAACTTATATTTTATTTTCTTACATTTTTACAGAATGAGACTTTTGTAAAATAAACAACTGATTAAACCCTGACAAAACTCACAAAAGTCACTTCATCAGAACTTTAGAGATCACAAACCAGAACTTTGAGCGGTCCAGTTCAGCTTCAGTAGTTTGTGCTGAAATGCTTGTTGACTTTGAAAATAGAAACGTAGACGGTGAGGCTGATGAGGAAGAACTGCTTCTGCTCCTTCAACCAGACCAGCTTCATCTTCACCTGACCGTCCGAGTTCTGGTACGTCATCAGAAAGTGCTCACCGCTGTAGTCGAAGGACAGTGACGTCTTCACCATCGTGATGCAAATGGGCGAACTGACGCACCAGAAGGGTTTCTGGAACTCATCCAGTAGAGTCACCGTCATGATGCAGCAGTTCTACGCGATGTAAGAAAGAACCATCAGGAAAGGGGGATGGGACCCTTATTTACCCCCTAACAGCCAAAATGAATCCTGAGTTGCTTTGTTAAAAATTTAAATAGATGTTTTCAGGCCGTCCACACCAAGAACAAGAACTATAACGACAGCTGTAACAATAACGGTGTGTAAAAAGTAGCGCCAAGCACGAACTACACGCTCAAAGCAAACGCTACACGCTTCGAAGCAAAAAACAAAACACTTACCACTGATTCTGAGCCTGATGACTGCAGATGTTCTTCTTGTTAGCGTCTTTATAAACACCGCTCCTCGTGCTGAAAGTGACGCGTTGACCTGACACACAGGTGATGAGCTTACCTTGTCAGAGCACCACTTTTAATTGTTCGCTGCTGAAGCCAAAGTTAGCTTGATTTAGACAAGCTAATGTTCTGCAGCTCGATTCAATTTCACCAAAAAGCAACGAGTTCGCAGCTATGAGCACGTCTGAAATGTGTCGGTCGGTGTCAGACGGAAATGTAGCAGCAACAACCCGGGGCTCGGACAGAACTGTTGAGCGAGTCGAGGCTGCCTGCGTTTGAATGCATCTTTGAATCTCTGAAGGGGGCGTGTCCAAACCAAGATCCTAGAAGCTACTGTATCAGCCAGATAACTCGCCACAAAACCCTAACATGTCACTAGAAACATTATGTGTTAATTGGCTTTACTGAGTTTTAGCAGAGTTGGTTAAACAGAATCAAACTAGCTGTTTCCATATTTCCAGTCTTAATGCTAAACTAAGCAAAGACGACTTGGTACGTTATTGTATTAGAACGAAAGTTGGTTCAGGCTGATGTATGATTTGTTTGGACAAGATCACGATATTGCTGGACAGTTGTACCTCCACTGAGCCCTCCAGCGCCTCGCTCTTCCAGGGCAGCTTCACATTTCCCGACAGCGACCTGTGCTGCGACAGGTTGGTTCTGTCGATGACCTTCAACTCCACCAGGCCACGCTGGATCTGAACTGATCAGAGCAACACAACAAACTTTAGGCTTTTACACCACGATCAGACTTCTCGTAGTTCTTGTTACTAATTCCAGTTAAATTGACCAACTCAAGATTCTGAGACCAGTTCCTACAAAAGGTAGAAAGTCTCTGAAATCACAGTCAAGAGTCAAGATCCTCGGGTTTATGTCGATGTTAAGAGGAAAGAAAAAGAAAACAAACAAAAAAAAAAACAATTCAAGTGAAAAGTCTGTATGAAATTACATTTTCAGGGCTTTTTTCCATCAATAAAGTTTATTCTCATGGCTCTAATCCTATTTGTTTTGTTGATGTTGGACTTTTTCAGCTGCGAAACATTCTAAATAATTACATACAAAAAAAATAAATCAGTGTCAGCGGACCTGTTCATCATGTGATCAAACTGTGATCAAACTGTGATTACCTGCGCGACAGGAGATCTGGCGGAAGTGTCCCGACATGATCTCAGTGCCGGTGTTGTGCAGGACAAAGTGCAGGGTGTAGTCGTGGAGACCAAACTCGGGGTCCAAGTTATACACAGGTGGACGGTCAACGGGTTCAGAGTACGGGCTGCGGGAAGGGACAAACGGGACGAAAAGAAGAAGAAGAAAAACCTGAACAGAGCAAAGAAGATTCAGGAACTTCAGAGACAATTACAAAGAGATTAAATATTTGATTAAAACAAAACAAACAACAGAGTTTAATATAAAATATGAATATAAAATTAAAGCACAAGCTCCTGGAGGAATTCAATAACTGGACTCAGTTTGCTCTTGATAAATAAACTGGACGTTTGTCAGTTGAAGCTGATGAGAAGTGAACTGACCAGACTGGAGATCCCAGCAGACTCTTCTCCACCAGCTTGTGGAAGTGCAGGCTCACCATGATGAAGGCAACAATGCTCTGACCCTACACACACACACACACACACACACACACAATTGATTTGTATTGTATTTATACTCACACTATAAAAACATTAGGAATTTAGTTTGTTTCCCTGTTGAACACTGACCCTCCAGACGCCGATGATGACACCTGGCGACAGACTCAGCAGTTTGATGAGTCTGTCTTTGCCAATGAAGCGACTGCACTGAGTCTTCATGTCCAGCTTTAAAATCAGAGAGCGCCATTCAGGCCTGACGGAGGAGAGGAGGAAGGACAGGTGGAGGTGTGGTAAATGTGTGGTGGTGGTGGTGGTGGAGAGGAGGCGTGGCGGAGGTGGAAGAGATGTTTCTTACTTCCTGACTGTGGGGCTCTTCAGCGTCTCCTTCCTGACTCCGTGCAGCTGGATGCTGCTGATGTGGTGATAGCTGGGGAAGTTGCCTCCGCTCCAGCGGACGATCACTGAGGACTCGAAGAAGTATGCTCGGCTCTGCTCCAGCGTGCTCTCCTGTCCTAAGCAGTCGCACACCGTCAGCTCCCAGCTCACGTTCAGGTTCCTGGAGAAAAAACACACAACACAAGGCTGAAATAAGACAATACACAACCCTACATCTACTTTTTGTTTGCTAATGTTATTATAGCTTTTTAAATCTATTAAATCTATTTTTATTGTATCTCATTGTTCGCTGTCTTAATTTATTTGTCTTTTTCTGTTTAGCTTGTCAGTCTGTGAAGCTCTTTGAACTGCACTAACCTTTATGAAAGGTGTTTTACAAATAAAGTTTGATTGATTAAGTGAAAAAGATAAAACTTGCACATCTGATAAAAGTCTTTAAAATGTAAAAAAAAAAAAAAAAAAAAAAACAACAACAAAATAAATCTGATCTCTGTGAGAAATGTCCATCACATAATCAATAATATAATTTCTCCATTGACGCTCAAATGTCTTGTATCATGTAACCAACGGTACAAAACTCAAAAAAGCAAATCAAAAAAGTCATTTATTAAATTGGTCAAATGGTCAAATCAATAATGAAAATAGCTGCAAATGATTTTCAATCAACTAACTGATTACTTTCGTTTTTGTTGGACAACAGCATTTTTCAGCAGCAAATAAATTTGACCGGTGAATTCTGCAGTTGTCTCCGACTCTGGAGCTGCAGGATCCAGATCTGCCACCACAACACTCATCATTACTAGTTATTTGTTATTGTTATCATTATTACTTGGGGCTGCTATTGTGTCAATTTTAATCTTCTGTCTGTTGACATTTTTGTAATTTGTAGTAATATCATCTGTGTTTGTGTCACTGTATCAACTTTGAGACTTCTCTGTCTTTGCTTTTCTTTTTGTTAAATGTGAAATAGTTTTAATTCTGCAGGTGAAATCATTAATTAGTGGAATAATCAGACATCTGAAAGATGTGACAAGAGGCTGTTTAGCACTAAAAACAAAAACCAAATATAAATTAGAGGCAGACATTGCTAAGCTTCACAACAGTCCTCATCTGCATTATAACCATTAACATTGAGTAAATGTGATTAAAATAGTTCCGTGTGCAGAGAGTTTTACATCATATTGATGTTTGTTTTCATAGAAATGAACTGAAGTCAATGAACCGGTGGAAGCAGAGGGGTGAATCTGGTACCTGAGGACCCACTCTGTCTGCCTGGGTAAGCCGGTGTATGGGCTGATGTCTCTCAGCTCTTTCCTCCACTTGTTCATCTCTTGTCCAGCCGCGGTCCTGAAGTACATCTTCTTCCAGTGGCCCACCGACCGATCCCCCATCTCCACCTCCACCGGGCCCTCCTTCATCGCACCGTCATCCGCCGCCCTCGGCTTCCACGTCTGACTCCCAAACTCTGACATGTAAATCTTATGCCACATGACACTACGGTGAGAGAAGGTCACAGGTAGACACTGGCTGCAGATCAGTACTACTCACTGTGAGGTCACTGAGGATAAAGACTAATTACAATATTCAATATTCAATAACATTCTGATCGGCTAACAAGAGAGGAAGAAGGAAAAATACAATACAAACTTTAGTTTAAGAGTCAGATACGATTCAGGCTAATTTAAAACACATGCATGTAGATCATCAGCTGCTTCATAATAAAAGCCTCACATTGTTGGCCACTTCAAAGCAAAAGCCCTTTAGCTTCTTCACTGTAAAAGCACTTATCACCTTATAACACTAAAAGCTGTCCACTTGCTTCACAGTAAAGGCCCTGTAGCTCCTTCACAGTAAAAGTCCTCCACCTGCTCCACAGTAATGGTCATCTTGTTGTTTCAAAGTAAAAGGCCTTTAGCGGATAGGAATCTGATGAAAGCAAGGCATGAAGCACAGAGGGAGCTTTTATTGTGAAGCAGCTGCAGGTGCAAGAGCCACACATTATTGTTTGACTTAGCCTGCAAAGCTAACTTGTTATTAAAGATGTCTACGTCTATATCTTCACAGTTCTTTGGACAGGTACGGTAAAGAACAAAAGAAAAAGTGTTGCAGGCACAAGATTCAGTATTTAATATTTAAGAAATCCCCTTTTGATTTGTACTAAATATGGAGCCAGGTTGACTGTCACACTTACTCATCATCGGCAAGCTGGTGGAAGAGTTTGCTGACATGGCTGATGCAGAACAGCGAAGAGACATCCAGGTAGGACAGGATCTTAATCAGAATCTCAGACGGTAGCCTAAAGAAGACATGACAAGCAGTCACTGCAAACACCTGAAACTACTGTTTTTATTACACCTGTAGTTCAGCCAATCAGCAGCCACCTGCAGGTGAGTCCAGAGGCTAGTTCTCAAACATTCCCGCAATAATCAATACTATGTGTTGGGTCAGAGACGATCAGTGTGATCAATCATCTGTATATAAAATATATCAACTTCCGCCAACCTGTAATTTTAAATTGACCTAGCAAAAACTGTTGGATTGGATTAAACTGTACAGGCAGCCATGTTGTTAAACCCCCTTTGAGTCTTCATCTGGGGTGACCATTTCCTGTCACCTCTCTTCCGTCAACCTTTGAATAAAGGTTACCATTCAAAAATATATGGATCCATGGAACTTACACTGCTTAATTTTGACATGTACAAATCAATCAATATAAAACTGACAGATTCCAATCAATTTATTGATTGTTTTAGTCGTATGTATGTATGTATGTATGAATGTGTGTATGTGGCACAAAGCACATTTATCAACACTGACCATAATAATATCAATATAAATGTATTAGGGTTAGCTCAGCAGCTAATTTGAACCTGTCTCATCACAACTAAAAATGACAAATGATAAAAGTATTTTCAACAAAATAAAGTTAGAATTAAAATCAACAACTCAAACAAGTGTAACAACAACAAACTGATGATTAATGACTGCATACCTGTGTGGACTTTAACTATGAAAAGCTGAAGCTGCAGTGTGACGCAGACAGGTGGAGGTAGAGATCAGTCAACTAGTCATTGTTGTGGTTTAGCTAACTCACCTTTCCACCAAGTTTTCCTTTAACGGAGGAGTTTTGACTGTTTTCTTTGTCTCTGTTCTCGGTCCTGGGCAGCTGGCACACAAATTAAAATATAATTAAGTTTCCAAGGTGGGTTTAAATCCTTCAAAGAAGTGTACGTAATCCTTAAACATGGCAGACGGGTCACCTGTGAGCACTCCCGCTGACCGGGCTCGGTGCCTCTGTGTTCGGCCGTCTCTTCCTCCTTTTGCCGGCCGTCTTCCCTCTATCCGAATCCGCCTGTCCTCCTCCGGGACCTGGCTTTCCTCTGCCCCGAACCGCCGGTCGTCTCCCTGGAGCCAGCTGGGCGGGCTGCCTCTCCAAACCCACTAAGAAACTCCGAAAAAACTCCCCTCTTCCCGCCGCCATTATCACGGAGTTAATTGATTTTACCGCCACTCGCCACTTCCGGTCAGTTTTTTTTTCCACAATAAATCATTCATTAGCGCAGCCAGACCGCTAGATGGCAGTCATGTTTTGTCTAAATTACCTAGGTCATTTCATCCCTTAAATGTCCCAAATTTATCCAATAAATTAACATGAATAATTTCTTTAAAATGTCTTAACTTTAGAAAAACAAAAATCTCTGTTATTTATTGATTATTTTACAAGGTGATCCATGCAGGCTGTGGTGATGAAAATATTTGTTATTCCATTTCTTCATAGTTTACATCAACAAAAAACAACAAAACATCAACAAACAAATGAATGATTTGATGAAGTCTCCTGTAGATAACAATGTGCAATATACATATCACAATAAATATGTCAATAATAATTAAAAACATCCAATAATAATCAACAATTTGCATCTAAAAAATAAATATGAAGCAGTCTAAGAACATAAACAGTAGTTCAAGCATAAATGAAGCAGGTCACTGTTTATTTGCGTTTTAGATAACCAAGACTCATAGATTTATTTATGTGAATTATTGTCTGTGCTGTTGTAACTCAGTAAGTTCAAATTGATTAATAGAGAAAAAAAGACAATTCTGAAAAAAAAAAAACAGTTTTACACATTCGTTTTGTCCTTAAAGAAAATAAAATGCTTAAAAATAACAAACAAAACATATGGGTCTGACTCTTCATGATAATGTAATGACACAGATCAGTATCAAAAGTTTTAGTTTGACTTTCAGTTCCATCAGGGGCCTCCTGTCCTCCCTACAGGTGGCACTACCTGAAGTATATAAGGTATTCTTTCAGGTTGTTTAATTCTTTTTCCTTTTCCTTTTTTTTTTATTCCTGTAGTTTATTGTATTTTTGTATATATAAATATGGCTGGGACATTCCTACTTTTGACTGAGGCCTTGAGAAATGTCAGTGGTGATCACATCGAACAAACACTGATAAACTGATGCACCAAGTCCCAAGCAAAGATATCCAGAAAATCAGGTCAAACCTTCTTTGACCAGACCGATGGCGTCACTGTCTCACCTGAACGATCAGTTAAAAGATGTGGTTGTGTATTCTCTGCTGACACATGGTAACTCTGCTATTATGTGCAAGTGTTACATAAGCACGCTCCTCTCTGTAATTTAACTAAAAGCTGTGAAACCTGAGCCCCCCCCCACACACACACACACACACACCCCCATTGACTAAACAAACTATATTGTCAGCCCAACATTGCCCCCAGAAGCAACAGCACTCAGTGTCTCTGATGTAAACATGTTCTTGGTCTCCAAGCAGCACGATAAACAATCACACGCCGTGTAAAGTGATCATGTCCTCATATGGGAAATTCTGCACCTTCAGCAACATTTTTAGTTTTTCTGGGACTCGAGGCAGAAAAAAACATCAGTCTTCATTGGATTCGACTCAGTTTCCCTCCAAACGAGAGGTCCACTGTGGTTTAAACTTCCTCTGGTTCTGAGGCGAGTGTCACTGGTTTAACCTTTACATAGTTTAATGGATAGCGTATTGTGAAGCATCAGTGTTGTTGCTATGGTTACCAGCAGTTTGTACGTTTTTTGGATTGAAATTTCAGAAAAAGCTCATAAGTAAACCTTTTTGTTTGTTTGGTTTTTTGTATTTATTTATTGATTTGGTCAAACTACAAGTTTCAAGGTCAAGACTGAACTCTAAATGCATAATAGTCATTGAAGTTACACATGAAACTTGTAACCACACTGAAGAATTTATATCAGAGCTGTTGCTTCTAATAAAGTGGCCACTGAGTGTATATATAACTATAGCTATACAGGTATAAGTAGTGATACAATCTACCCCAAATATGAGAAAAAAAATACAGGAGTTAAAAATACATGACATACATACAATTTAATGATAAAAACCGAAAACATAATATTATGATATAGTAAACAAAAGTAGTGTTAGATAAAATTAAGCACAATAACTAACATGTTGTAATATAACACTGTGATAAATATAAAAGGACAATATAATGTAATTAAATTTGAATATACACTGCACAATGGTGGTCATGTAAAATACTCTAATACTCTGTAAATTTGTCAATGTCTATTACAGTCTGTGATAATAATAATAATGATAATAATAATAGTTCTTGTACTGTTTGTAATGTGCTGCATCTAAAGTGGGCCTATTGTCAGTCTATTAGTAGTATTAACACATCAGCATATTATATATATATATATATATTATTTAAGAAAGTTTCTAATAATGTCAAAGTGTATGAGGTAAAAACAAAATTTACATTTTAAAAATAGTAATGTAGTAATGTAATGTAGTAATTGAGTGGAGGAGGAACACAGGAGGAACTACAATTAATTACACATTAATTACAGTGAATTTAAGGATGAATAAAGAAGGTATATTGTTAGTTATTCCGGAGGGTGAAGGAGTGAAAGGAGGGATTAGAAAGAGGAGGAGTAGGAGGAGGAAGAGGAGGAGCTGCAGATGGAGGAAGAGGAGGCGTCCTGCTCGTCTGTGTCCAGAGGAGAGGAGCGGCCGCCATGTTAACCAAGAAGCCCGGAGCCTCGGTCCTTCCGACGGGTGAGCACAGCCTCTATAGCCGGCCGGAGGGCGCTTGAGCCTGGTCAGTGTGGCGGAGACACACCGCCGATTGCATTGTGGTTACCTCGGTTTAATCCAGTGTAAATTACAGTGAGACAGGAGAGGAAAACACTGAGGGAAGGGCAGGGAGCTGTGCTAGCTAACTAACAGGCAGGAACAGAAACAACACTCGTCTTTCTTTCTCTGTTTATTAAATTAACTGTAATGTCATAAACGAGAAGGAGATGGAGGAGTAGCTGTGGCACGGCTGTAGAAACTAACGAGATAAAAATAAATACATAAATAAATAAATAAATAAAAAGCTGCTCCAGACGTCTTCTTTCCCTGCCCGTCTGTCAGGTTTATTTTTAGCTAGCTAACCAACAGACAGATGCAGGTTTCCCGGTGTGTTTCCCTGCTGTTTACGGCCACTTTATCGCCGATGTCGACCGTTACTAACGGCTGTTTCGTGCCGTGTACAGACATCTCTCGTTGTCTTTTAGCTTCCTGTGTGTTTATTAGACACGGTTTTTGGTGGTGTTTAGTGTTTAGTGTTTAGTGTGTGTGTGTGTGTGTGTGTATGTGTGTATGTGTGTGTGTCGGTTGCTGGGTAATTTTTGGCCTCCAGCTCGGCAGACAGAAATAAAGCTTCGGTTCAGTTCAGTCAGAGGTCAGTTGGTGTTTTAGCCTTTTCCCCCCAGTTGTTAGCTTTTGAAATACACAACTGTCAGACTCTTTATAACTCTATTAGCTCGACTATCACATGTTAATGCTATTATGAGCTGTTACAGGTATTATTACACGTTTATACTCCTGTTAAAGTGGTTGCTATAGTGATTGTTATTACATGCTAATATCTCAATTTATACTGTTAGCAGCCATTTACTTTGCTGTCTACTATCTAACTTACTATTGTGGTGGTGGTTATTTACAGAATGTTATAATAATTTATTATCGTCTAAATGTAAATATACTGTCATGATATATTGGTGGGCTGATATTACTAGATGTTATTATCATATTGATACTGGCAAGTGGATAAGAACCACAATAATTTTTATGATTTAGAAACACCTACCGGGTTTCAAACCAAATCTTATGTAAATTTTAACAAATTTTTGAGAAAGTTGTCAAAGAAAATGATAATCAATGCTCATTTCCATCCATTACTTTTGTGCAAATATTAGGTGTTGGTTTGTGGCGGTGAACACTTGGATGTACCAGTTGGGTGCAGCAGGATGATGTTATTAAAAGGGCTCAAACGATTGTAGAAAACATGAAGGAAATTAGGCATTTCTGTTTGTTTCGTGTATTCATGTGAGGACAGTGACAGTGTTATTATCAGTCTACAATAATCTGATGTTTTCAAAGCTTTCACATGCTTCATGATTAATTTGCTGCATCTGTTTTCATTGCCCTTTGTGTTTATACAAGCAAAGCTTTGTTAAGAACTTGTTTGTGTCCACTACTTGTAATAATAGGAAGCATTATAGACTGAAATGTGAGATATAGGAGATTCATTAAAAGTTGTTTTAACTCATATTATCTTTTGAGTCAGTCGTAAGACAAACCACCATCAGGTAGCCGACTAACCTGGCCCCGATCCAGATTCTCAATCCTGTAGGGTTATCTTTAGGAACCTGGATGTGTCAATTCCTCAGGTGTTAACTTCAATACAGGAACAATCTCGAAAATACAAACTAACCCAACTGGATGGCTGTATGTGTTATTTTAGAAGCTTTTTCAAAATATTTTTGTTAGGGACATTTTGTAAAGGAACAACAGGAACTCAGACCGGTGATGTTAGAGCACAGAGGGAGGGCTGAACTGGGGACGTTATGATTATGTGGTATTCATTTTAACTCTCTCAGCCACAAAGATTCCCTGTCTTAGCAGCTTTATAGGTTTATAAGGGTTAGGGTTAGTCAGCTGCACGTCAATTAACTAATAACATGAGTTATTCTGACACAGAGTGCTAACTCACTGTTAGCCCGAAAAGCTAATACCAATGTATATCTAGTTTTTGGACATTAATAGTAGCAGTAGCTATTCTAATGTAAACACCAATGGCCCACTGTTAGCCTGACAGCTAATGTATATCTAGCTTTTGGACATAAATAGTAGTAGCAGTTATTCTAATGTAAACACCGCCGGCCCACTGTCAGCTTGTTTGGTAATATCAGTGTTACTTATCCTTAAGTAGCCTTGTGGTTATTCATCAAGTATTTGCACAGCTTTTTCAGTGTGTTGACATAAATGTAGTTACATGAATGTAAACACAAGCAGATAATCTGTTATATAATGTTAATTATATATATTAGTATTTATTCTAATGCTAATAGTACAGACTACTCCTCCAGATTTTAAGGTCGTCATGTGATCAGTTTCAGCTCATCTGCCCTGTTTTGTATTGTCTTTGATGCAGTTTAGAGATTGACTGTGTTTCAGTGTTTGCCTGCTCACAGCTGGACATAATGTAAGATGGTAGATTTCTTTAACTGAGCAGGTTTCTTAACAGCAGTAGTGCAGCTGCCCTGTTTATCTTTCATCTCTCTCTCTCTAACCACATGTTTTATAACCAGTTCATTAATGGTTTTAATTTGTAGTCAGTTTGGTTTTCCTGCAGGCTTTGTGGTGACTGCGCTTTCAGTTTTGCTCCATTTTGTGCCCCAGTTTCACTTCCCACACCAACACTGTGAAGTATCTGACGATTATCATTTTCATCCTTGATTAATCAAGAAAGATGAATAGATTAATGTTTTGTCTATAACATGACACAAAATGGTGAAAAATGCTCATTATAGTTCGTCACAACTCCAGATGTCGTCTTCATGTCTTATAGGGTTCATATCTGACACTTTTCCTGTTTTATTTTAAAATTTGGACATCCATAAGAAGATATATTGGTTTTAAGAACCAAAAACCATCTCAGTGTAGTTTTACATCTCCTCTCTCAGGCTTCTCTCTGGTGCTCTAGTAACAACAGGTCTGTGAGCCAATCAGAAGAGAGGAGGCTGTGAGAGTCTCCTCTGATTGGCTGACTGTTTTCTGAGTGATCTAATAAAAATATAGCAGATTTCAGGTAAAACACTCAGAGAAACCAAATCCTGCAAGGTTTGGATGGTGGGTCCAGGTGGGCGGGGCCTGGGGCATAGCTGAGGGAGGTTGTAACATCACAAAGTTCCAGAAGTCCTGACGGTTCAGTTTCTGAATACAGGCTGTGTGCATTTCTCTGTGGACTGAGGCTTTGATACTTTCACAGTATTAATATAGAACCTAGACCTGATCTATAATCAAACACCACATGGACAGAGACCTTTACACTGGATGGACCTTTAAACCCAGAGATTCAGTCCATTGTCATCATATTTGAGAAGCTGAAACCAGAAGATGTTTCAGATTTTTGAAAATAACTAAAATATTCTTTCATCAGAATATTAGCAGATGAAATTTCTGTCAATCAATTAATCGGCTGATTGTTGCAGGTTTGAGCTTTGTTGAGTTTAGTAAAGACGCCACACTCCTAAAATGTTGTTTGAAGTAGAAACTGTGCTGGTGATTCATCTATAGTGGCCAGTGAGGGACAGAAAGAAAATGTCAGCAGGTTGAAATGATAAGAGGAGGCATTTTGTGTTTGCACCTTCCTCGTCTGTGATTTCCTGCTCTCTCTCCCCCTCTCTCCCTCTCTCTCTCTCTCTCGGTGCTGCACGCGTGCGATCACGTTGCCGCAGGTTCTCCCCACCCGTCCTGTCGAGCAGCATGCCGACCATGCTCTCCGGCGCTCTGGCATTTCCAGAACTCAGTGTCGAGTTCACATTCGGCTCGCCGCTGTTCCACTCTGTTAGGGTGCATGTGTCAGGCTCACAGTGAGGAATACTGTACATGCTCTCCAGTGTAGATCCCCCCTCTTACATTATCAGTATGTGCTGCAGAGGCACAGCACAGTATCGTCACACGCTGAGGAGGTGGAGGCCCCGTGGAGATGATGAAGGGCCTCTGGGAAACAGTTTGAATTGGAGTCTGGGGGATACTGGAGGGATTTTACCTTTATAACAGAACAATAATGTTACTTTTATTTTAGGTTGCTTTAAGTTTGTTGATATAAAGTGGTGATGAATGTGTGTGAGGCAGGAAATTTACAGTTCAGCAAAACATAAAGATCAAATAAATAAAACTATTTTTCACAGTACAGAGAAACACTGACATGTTTGTGATGAGTCAGTATCAGCTGATCATAATGACTGAGCTCTAGTTTGTGTGTTTGTTGTTTTTAGGGTTAGGGTTGGACAATATGACAGTATAGACAGTGAGATCATGCAAATTTGAGATTTTGATTTAAAATTTACTGCATTTAATCTATTTAGTATCTCCTGTTGTATTGTGTGTTAGTGTTAAATAAAGTTAAATTCCTTGTAAATTCATGAGAAAAAGTGCTTCATCACAGTTTGGGATTTTTGGGATTTTCATGCTGATGTGAAGTAAAATTTTACTTCAATCTGTTCAGGATTTCATCAGCACGAGGTAGAAACAGACGTAGTTTGTTTTGATTTGATCAGTTTCTGTTTGTAGAAGATGTGATACGTTGTGATACAGATATTCTAATATGAAGTTACATACATCGTGATAGAGGATTTTATTAATATTACCATTCATTTCACGGCCAATTAATCTGGCAAAAGTTAATTATTTTATCATTAAGCTTAAAAGTTGTTTGAAAATAGTGAAAACAAATACCAAAATCTCCAATTCCAGAAATTTACAGTGACATAAATGGACATTAGAGAAGCTTGTTGAGATTTATTGAGCTTTTCTGCCAAGCGATAAATTGATTAACGAGTTGTTTCAGCATCATATAGTGCACTCCTCATCACTGTAATGTTGCATATGTGCAGCTTGTAAAAGGCTGAGGCTGCAACTCAAGAGAATTTTCATTATCAGTGAATCTTACAATTATTTGTTTTAGTTACTTGATTAAAAGTTTCGCCAATAAACATCTGAAAACAGTAAAAGAAAAAAAAAAGACCAGTTTTAATTTCCCAGAGCTTGTGACGTCCTCAGATCGTCAACATTCAACTGACTGAAAACAGAAAATCCAAACATGTCACGGGCCTGAGACAGAATTGATCAATCAGTTATCAATACCAAATAATATAAAACACACACAAATCTCTTTTTATCAGTTACTGAACTGATAGTTTGAGCAGCAGCAAGAGGAGGATTCAGGATCACAACTGATGAAAACTTGATTCTGTATATTGATCATAAAATCAGAGTATATAGTGATATTGATCGCTGAAGTGAAGATGCATTAGACTGCATTAGTGCTGTGTGTGCAGGTTTGATGCAGGTTTCAGTCCGAGTGTGTTGAGTGCTGATCAGCAGCCTCACAGTGACGGTGTGTGTACTGTGTGTGCGTCGTTGTGCGTCTGAGTCGTCCTCATTAGCAGGATTACACTGAGCGTTCAGATTAAAGGCAGAGGCCATCTGTCTGTTCAACCTGCTGAGAGCCGGACGGTGGCCTGTGAGGGTCAGCGTCTCAATCAGGGCTTGTCTCCATTCAGTCAAGCTAACGCTTTGATCCGTTTCCATGACTCTCCAGCTGTGGTCCTGATGAGGGAACGAAAACTAACCATTATTTTCGTTATTGATTAATCTGCTGGTGATTTTATCAATTAATTGATTAGTTGTTTGGTCTGGAAAAATGCAACAACAAAAAAAACGCCATCAGTTTCTCAGAATATAACAGAATCCTGACACTGGAGCAGTTTTTACTTTACAAATTACTCAAGATTAATCAATTATCAAAATAGTTTGTGATCCATCAACTAACAATTAATTGACTGAGTATTCCAAAGGAGGCGAAGCTGCAGAGAGAGAGAGAGAGGCGGTGTATTCAGGATTATCAGGCTATATTAAAACCTTCATCCTCCTTAGACTGAATCAACCTGCAGGACCCACTCAGAGTCCAGATCCTGAAGTGATCGGGTCCTGGGTCACTGCGTACGAACATCCATCCAACCAAATGTCTAAAACCCAAAACCAATAATTGTTTTTTAACCTGAGACTGAAACTATTAGAATCAGAATAGTTGCTGATAATTTTTCTGTTGATTGATTAATCACTGCAGCGCCACAACATTGGCTCTTTTAGGCTCTGACCTTGTGGCTGGTAATAAACTAGATCTGCAGTCACAGTTACGTCCATTGTTGGTTAATCAGACGATCTGTTTTATGGTTTGGTTCTAACAAAATGTTAATGCTGTTTTTTTATCTATCTTTCTTAACCTTTCGTAGATGAAACAGTTAACTGATCAAAGCAGCAGATAATCGATAATGAAAATGATGGGTTAGTTGCAGCACAACAGATGAAATGATTTTGGAATTAAAATAAAAACATTATCACTCGATCAGAACGAGTGGTAGTTTGAGATTTAGCTGAATGTGATCAATGTATTTATGAAGAGAATGAATGGATAAATTTTACTTGAACATCTCTAGAACATCTGTTGTGTATGAGAGGGAAGTAACAGCTCTTTACTTCAGGGTTCATCCAGTTTCATTTAACTTAGAAACACAATTCGGTGTGAATACAGTGCGTTTTCCTGTTAGTAAGTTAAAGCACAGTGTGATTTTGTTGTTGGTTGTTACAGCTGTTTGGTATTTGTGTAGCTGCCGCATGTTGTTTTGGCTGTTACGTTTGTGCTACAACACTGTTTGTTGACGCTTTGTTTCGTGGTCGTTTCTCACACTCGTCGTTTGTGTCGTTTTTTATTTTAAAAGAGGATTTCAGAGCAAAGTTTGGTCTCAAAGATTTTAAGACTCATCGCTGTTAATGTCTTTAAAAATCTAAAGAAGGAAATGACATCCACTCCTGATTATCTGAAGTTTCTTCTCCCACTAAGAAAAAGACTGATTTGAGTTTTTTTCTGAAAGAATTGGAGGCTGAGATGATTCAGAGTTGCTAAAAATGAAGGAAGAAACTAAAGTAGAGGTTTGTTTAATAAGCTGGAGGTAAAAGCTGCAGAGTTCTGCGTTAATAATTGTGATTGTTGTCGTGACCTCTGTTGCTTCAGTAGGCGTTTTCAGGAAAAGCCCAACAGACATACGTTGTGTTAAGCCCTGAGTAAATTAGTGGTGGCGTCTGTCTGAGCCGTCTTTGTGTAACATGTTTGCCTCTATCTGTCAGTCTGTATCTATAGATGTTTGTATGTCTCTGAACTCTTCAGTCGCCTTCAGTCATATCTAATCTGAGACTGATTGGCCGCCACTCAGTGAAACCGTCTGAGGCTCCTCTCCTCAGATAACCCACGTACGTTGGAGGGATCCCGACCACTTTCTAATATTTGAGGAGATTGCCAAGCATGTGTCTGATAGACGAGTTACATAAGCAGCTCTTTTGGTGGTGGTCACGTCATGTGATATTTGGCTGGCTGGAGGGGAGCCAGCAATACATCTTGTACTCTGAAACTATGACCCTGTGTCGAGTTTTTTGCCTCGACTATAACGTCAGCAGCGAGTCAGTGCTTGATGACGACGGGACGTTTCTGTGTCTACACCTGTTTAAAGAACAAGATACAACATGTTAAGCAGACGTTGGAAGGTGTGATGGAGCTGGACTCGTATTAATGATAATGAATATGTGACTCCGTAACTTTATATAAGCCATAAGCACAGGGGTGTGTAGAGCTGCTCTGATTGGTCCATCAAATGATAATTGCTTTATTCTTTTTTTTAAATGCCAAACATTTCCTGCTTCCTGCTTCTCAGATGTGAGGATTTCTTTGTTGTAAGAGACAGTAAACTGAACATCCGACAAAACAAGACATCTGGGGAGTTACACTAGAATATATCAGCCATTTCTCACTACTTTCTAATATTTTATGGACAAAACAATTATTGCTTTAAATGTCCATCCAGTCTCTGCCCATGTGTTGTTTGATTATAGATCAGGTCTAGGTTCTATATTAATACCATGAAAGTATCAAAGCCTCAGTCCACAGAGAAATGCACACAGCCTGTATTCAGAAACTGAGCCTTAAAACCAGCCGTCAGGACTTCTGGAACTTTGTGATGTCACAACAAAGCAGTCACCAAGCCCCGCCCACCTGGACCCACCATCCAAACCTTGCAGGATTTGGAGTGTTTTACCTGAAAACTGCTATATTTTTCTTCAGTCACTCAGAAAACAGTCAGCCAATCAGAAGAGAGGCTCAGAGCCTCCTCTCTTCTGATTGGCTCACCGACCTGTTGTTACTAGAGCTCCAGAGAGAAGCCTGAGAGAGGAGATGTAAAACTACACTGAGATGGTTTCTGGCTCTCAAAACCCCAAATATATCTTCTTATGGATCAACACTTCAAATAAAACACAGGGGAAGAGGAAAATATGTAGCTTTGCATTAGAAATTAATGGTCAGATTAATTGATAATGTGGCCCACATTTTCAAATAATAAAATCAAAAGAAAGTGGAACTAGTCGCTAGTGCTCGAGATCTTGACTTATGAAACTATGAAAAATTTCCAGTTTTTCCAGTTGCAGTGCTACATGAAGGAACTGGAAACAGAGATGAAAATAAAATCCATCTTGTCAATAAAGTAATCAAAAAATATCCTAAATAGAAATGATGAAACTCATCCTTTTTTGTCTCTTTCCAGGCAAAGTGGGCGAGCCGGTCTACTCTCCTGGTCACAGTGGCTCTCAGACGACGTCGCCCGTCGCCCTGCCGCCGCTTCGGAACAACAACCACAACCCCCTGACGGTACAGACACAAATTTATTATCATCACGAGTTCAGCACACTGCTCATTCACAACTTCCAATTCATCACATTTAAACAGTCATAAGAAAATAAAGTGAGATGCAGTAAAGTCTCTTATTGAGTTTGAGCTGATTAACTCTGGTTCAAATCTCAGTATCTTTATTACCAGTGTTCACAGAGTAAACTGTGAAAGTGTTTGTTAAGTCTTTGATCAAATGGTTCATGATCAAACTTCAGACCATGTTTTATTTAAAACTGATGGTTTGGGACATTTTATTAAATAGAAGAATAGTTTTAAAAATGTTTACGTTGTCTGAATGTGATAAAACTCAGCTATTGTATTGACACTGATGTCAAAAAGCTTTGTGTCCTTTAAGCTGCTTCACTAAGACACATCTACAGCTCACACAAGATTAAGACACTTTATTATTTACAACATTTTTTATGCTCCAAATTAACTGCATCAATATTTAGAATTTGTTTGATACTCGAAGATTCGTTTTTATCTAACAATCAGTTTTTAAAAACGTGTGTCTGCACATGTAAACAACACATACCAAAACTCATGCCAGTGTGTCCTGGACCAGCCGCTTTTATTTTGGAAGTTTTCAGCAGGTTAATCACTGAAGACATCCACGATCAGCTGATAAACATCAGTGAACTGTTCATCAGTCTTTATCTGACCTGAAAAAAAAGGCTTTGTTCAGTAAATGTTTCCCAGAACATTAAGTTTGATTGTTATGATCAGTGACCAATAATCAATAATCAATCAATAATAATGATTCATTATAATAATATATAATCAGTATAATTCATTAAACTATTTCTGGGGGTGATCTGTTGATATGGAAATAAAATGCAGAACAATCTGGTCCTGACACCATCCTGTTGGTATGTCGGATTCAGAGGGCTGCAGTTTGACTAGCGAGCTGCAGTTAGCGTGTTAGCAAAAGATTAGCATGCTGTTAGCTCTGTGAAGCAAAGAGCCTGGGCAGCAGTCCTGTGGAACAGTCAGCTGTAGCCACACGGCTAATAATAGCTCTCTGCTCCAGGATGCTTTAAACAGCTGATTGGTTTATAGGCTGGTGTGAAGGACACCACACACACACACACACACACACACACACACACACACACACACACACACTGTGTGTGATATCATTGCTGATCATTGTATCACTTCAACTATTAGCATTATCAGAGTTCCCAGTAGCCTGTTACAGCAGAGGCTTTTATGAACTATAATAACTCACTGCAAACAGACCAGAGGCTCCGTATCACTCAGCTAAAACCAGGAGGAGGCACATTTTAAAACCAGATTTTTAAGGTCATTTTCTTGGGGTAAACTTGAATATCAGTATTTCAAACAGCAGCAGTCGCAGCTGCAGTGGTTGTGTTAATGCTAGAAATAGAAACAGTTGTGGTTGTAGCGTTTTCAGTGTAGACTCAGTTTAAAGTTTCCAGCAGCAGACTGATCAGCTGAAGTGATAGGTGCTTGTAAAAACTCATAGGATTCAGATTCGTCTTTCATTGCAACGTGCTGCTCTGGTACGAAGTGATCAATCAATCGTCTGCTGAGCTGAGTCAGACACATATCAGCTGTTATCAATGTAGTTACTCGAGGTGATGTGTGACCTTTGCTCGTTTTCTCTGAGTGTAATGACCCTAATGTTTTGTTCCATAAGTGTCATTTCCTCCAACATTAAAGCAGGCGGGGTTTGGGTTTTCACTTTTCAAGTGCAACAGCTTGTCTGACCTTCACTGATAAGAGGGCTAGATGTATGTGCAGGCGTGTGCAGCCCATTGGCAACATCTCTGAGTAATGCAGCTGTATGACAGTACACTGGAAAATATACAGACTGTACTGAAGGGAAGACAGTGGGAAAGGTGGGGTCAGGAGAGGTTGTGATGTATGTGGGTTACATTTGAATTAATTCCAACAAGCTACAAGTTAGTTTGAATTTGAATTCACTGACAGGATTATTTCTTAATAGGAATGAGTTGTTTTGTAATTGAGGCTCTGAACCTTTCTTCTGATTAGCTGACTGTTTTCTGAGTGATCCAATAAAAATATAGCAGATTTCAGGTAAAACACTCAAATCCTGCAAGGTTGGATGGTGGTGGGTGGGGCTTGGGGCGTGGCTGGGAGCAATGACTGCTTTGTTGTGACATCACAAAGTTCCAGAAGTCCTTAATATAGAACCTAAACCTGCTTTATAATCAAACTACACATGGACAGAGACCTTTAGACTGGATGGAGCTTTAAGGATTAATTCAGGAAACACTCTTCAGATTGATTGATAATGAAAATAAGAGATGTTGTCAGGTGAGGGAGGAGTCTACAGAGCCTAACACTTTGTTCTCATATGTCACTGACTACTGACAACACACTCACACCAGCCTGACTGCTGTATGTGTGTGTTACTGTTTTGTTTTCATGTCATGTTTCACTTCCTTATTTTTATACCTCAGTCCCCTCATTGGCAGGATTACAACACGCACGCACGCACACACACATGCACACGCACACACACACACACACATACACACACACACTATTATGATGCGGTAAACACCAGATCTTTGAATTGAGCCACATTTGCCACCTTTGTTGTTTGTGTGTGTGTGTACTGAAACCAAATGCACCTCTGTTATCTGAAAGGACCCAGGTGTGCTGGTCTCCACGGCAACAGGGAGTGACTCACTGAGCAAGAGACAAAGAGACGGAATAATATAGAGAGAGAGGTGTCCATTAATCAGCATTAGGTTGTTAGACTGTTGGAGTTCTTCATTACTAATTTGTGGACATTAATTATCCAGATTTTTACCTGATATTCAGTACAGACGGTTTCTAAAGCTTCCTGTGCTGTGTTCAAGAACACCCTGACATCTGAGACAGTAGCTTTATTAATGTAACAAATGACCACATTCGTGTTATCTTCTAAAAATCATACATTAAAGTTAATTGTTTATCTTCTTGACAAACTGTTGCAGCAATTTGGACAAAAAGTTGGAGGGAAAGTGGGAAAAACCTGTAGAATAAAAAATCAACAGTAGTTGACAGTAATTGGGTAGTTTTTAAACTCAGACACTGTGGGCCTGATTTGTGTTTATTTTTAGCCTGTATTTGTTGCCTTTTTTCAAAACTGGCACCATTAAAAGTAGCCAAATTAGCTATTAGCAGTTCCTGTTTACAAGAAGCCCATGAATGAACAGACAACTGACACTGGATTACTGTGATACTGATGTAAGTTATCTAGAGGGTGTTTTTTGTTTTTGTTTTTTTTTTGTTTGTTTTTTTTAAAGTGGATTTATAGACATTCATTTAATAATGGACAATGGAGATAATTATGTCCTCAAAGAAAAATATGTTTATAGTGTCTGTGTTTTCAGATTTGAAAGAGTTAGGACTCTTGAAGAGTTTGATTTTGAAGCAATTTGTGGCAACCAGATGCCAATTAGCTTTATTGCCTCCACGAGCGAATGCTGCTGCAAATGCTAACTGTGTTGAGGAGCAATACTGTGTTCTAGACGAGGCCTCGGCTGATCTGATGCTTCTGTTTCCTCTCAGGGAGGCTCTAAAGCCACCATGTCGGAGGCCGTCCAGCTGTCATCACAGTCGCAGGTCCACATCACCCAGCTGTATGAAGAGAACACCAACAAGCGTCCGGTCCTGACCTCCCAGCCCAACGGTCTGGCTCCACTCACCTCCACCCGGCCAGGGCTGCCGCTGCCCGACCGACAGACCTCGGCCTCAGAGCCCGCTCACCACTGCCGCCAGAGCAGTGCCACTTCCAACAAGTCGATGGACAGCAAGCCAAAGCCCAACCCCCTGTCCCCAGAGCAGGCCATGAAGCAGTTCATGTCCAAAATGTCCTCGTTTGAACACCACGAAGTTTTCAACTACCCAGAGGGTGAGTGGGTTCAGTCAGTCCTTCTAAAGATGCATCAAAAATTGATAAAAAATGAAAATTGTTATCTTTTTCCAGCTTTGTAATTATCTGTAATCAGTCAGGTTCAACACTAACTCTACAGCCAAAATAATAAATTATGATCATTAAATTTGATTGGCAGGAATGGGAATGAGAACATTTCTTCTTTTCCCTGCAGTGTACTTTGTGGGTCCAAATGCGAAGAAGAGGTCAGGGGTCATAGGCGGAGCCAACAACGGTGGCTATGATGATGATCAAGGATCCTACATCCACGTCCCACATGACCATATCGCCTACCGCTATGAAGTCTTGAAGGTCATCGGTAAAGGCAGCTTTGGACAGGTATGATCACTGCTGCTGCTCCAGCTAATGAAACAACTGGTGATTAGTAGCACTGTCACTAATTTTAACACAGAAGAGGACAAACTGTCTGCAGACCAAAAGTCTGGCTGCTCAACATGAATTTATTTCCTTGGTTGAAGCAAAACAAGTTACCTAATTACCTAATTGTTTCCTCTCTGGTCGAATGGATTTAAGATTCATGAGAGCACCATGTTTCTTCTCCCCCTGCAGGTGGTGAAGGCCTTCGACCACAAGTCTCAGGCCCACGTGGCTCTGAAGATGGTCCGCAACGAGAAGCGCTTCCACAGGCAGGCGGCGGAGGAGATCCGCATCCTGGAGCACCTGAGGAAGCAGGACAAGGACTCGAGCATGAACGTAATCCACATGCTGGAGAACTTCTCCTTCCGTAACCACATCTGCATGACCTTCGAGCTGCTCAGCATGAACCTGTACGAGCTCATCAAGAAGAACAAGTTCCAGGGCTTCAGCCTCCCGCTGGTCAGGAAGTTCGCCCACTCCATCCTGCAGTGTCTGGACTCACTGCACAAGAACCGCATCATCCACTGCGACCTCAAGCCCGAGAACATTTTACTCAAGCAGCAGGGACGCAGCGGCATTAAGGTACAATAGCAAAAATTATGTGTTCCCACATTAGCCATTAAAGGCACAATCATTCATCTATAAAACATTCTCTAATCTGTCTATCTCTGTCTCTAGGTCATAGATTTTGGTTCTAGCTGTTATGAACATCAAAGAGTTTACACCTACATCCAGTCCAGGTTCTACCGAGCACCCGAGGTCATTCTAGGTAAGAAGAAAGAAAATGAAAGAAGCTGGACTTTCAGATTTTCACTTCCTGTTGGTTTTGACCTCTGGTTTCAGTTCATTTCAGCAATGAAAAGCAACTTGCAGAGACTACACACTTGCAAAAAATTATTACATTACACCATCAGCATGTGGTAATTAAGTTGAGAAGTTCACTACAATACAGAAGGGTAGGTAAAGGTCGCCTTCCTACCTTCAAAGCAGTTTGGCTGCTCAAAAATGTACTAAATTCTTTCAGAAGGTCCAAGGATCTAAAATAATTTGTGTTTAATTTAGGTAGACCACCTCTAAAAGAATGTGGGTGTTTAAGGATTAATGCAAGAAACAACTGAAATCATATTGTCCTTGATCACTGGCTAGGTTTAGTTTTCTGACACCAGCTTTCAAATCATGGATGTCTATGTCCATCAAAGCAGTGACAGTACCAGTAACTACAGTAACCAGTAATCTTTAATGACAGGAAACTAAAGGTGACTACATGTATGTAATTTTTATAGAACCACTTTGAATCCAATGGCTACTGGGAAGGTAAAAACTCATCTGTCATTCCAAGAGTTGATGGTCTGGTTTGGAAAATGATCAGTGGGAATGGAAACTATTCAAACCTTGAATCCTGATTTTGGTTGGTTTACCTCCTCCAGGCTCCAGGTATGGAATGCCTATTGACATGTGGTCCCTGGGCTGCATCCTGGCTGAGCTGCTGACTGGTTATCCACTGTTACCGGGTGAAGATGAAGCTGATCAGCTGGCCTGCATCATCGAACTACTGGGCATGCCCAGCCAGAAGCTCCTCGACGCCTCCAAACGAGCCAAGAACTTTGTGTCATCCAAAGGCTACCCACGGTACTGCACCGTCACCACTCTGTCTGATGGCACCACCGTGCTGAACGGTGGTCGATCACGGCGGGGGAAGGTACGCGGCCCACCGGGTAGCAAAGACTGGAGCGTAGCACTAAAGGGCTGCGACGACCCACTTTTCCTGGACTTCCTCAAACAGTGTCTGGAGTGGGACCCGGCGCTCAGGATTACACCCAGCCAGGCACTGCGCCACCCGTGGCTGAGGAGACGACTTCCCAAGCCGCCAGCAGGAACCACCACGGAGAAGACCTCGTCATCCAAACGGGGCACCACCACCTCTGACGGTGCCATCACCTCCATCTCCAAGCTCGCCACCACCTCCTCAACCACCACATCCTCCTCCTCCAAAACCAGGACTAACTTGGCGGCGATCACCGACGCCAATGGAAACATCCAGCCTAGGACAGTTCTGCCCAAACTGGTCAGCTGAGAGTGAGCGCACCCCATTCGCTGTGGCGGGAGGTGAAAGCTGAGCTCACAAGCAGCCACGAGCAGCTGCGAGCAACAAGCTGGAACTGAATAAAACTGGTTTGTCCAGTTTTGAAGAGCGTTTGGTTTTTTCACACTGGTTTTCACAGCGTTGTTGGGGTGCGTTCAGGACTAAAACAGTCGTGGAAGTTTTGTGTTGGGTTGCTAAAATGCAGAATGGCTAGGCTAGGATGTAAACTGAAACTTGACTGATAAACTGGGGTGCGTTCTCAGTCTTGTCTGAAAAAAACAATTAGTTGTTTTACATCGTGAGCAGCGGGACGTGTTGGAAATGATTGCGGGGCTGCTCAGACAATCAAAACACACCACACCACTCTGTAGCTCCAAACACACAAACACAACACACTCACAAAAACATGGTGCTTACGGAGGGAACAAGGCTTTTTGATATTTTTTTTTTTTTTTTTTTAGCACAGAATCTATTTAGCTGAGCTAATAGTCGAATAATCGATTGGACACCAAAAACAACATATATTGATTTTAGTCTTACAAGGTCATATCTGGCAGACAATAATAGGGCCTCTTAAATGTGGTTAAACTGACAAATAGTGTCAGATATATCTTTATAAAACTAAGGCTACAACTGAAAAATGCAATGATTAGCATGCTAGTCTATGTTTCATATCACTATGAAATAACAAATTTTGTGTTTTATTTCAGTTTGGGGAACATTGGTGAGCATTTGTCATTATTTCTGACTCAAGTGACAACACAAAAAAGATCCTATCAACCCTAACTGAACCATCTACCTGTTAGCTGGCTAACTTTCCTAGCTAGCTGTTGTTTTACTGTGTGTTACCTTGTTAGCATTGTGCCTGTCAGCTAGCTAACTGTTAACTGACAGTGGTTTGTCGTTAGACAGCTATTTGTTTGTGTTTAGCTGTCACATTCTAACTCTTTATGCTAGCAGTTAGCCTAGCGAACTTTAAAATCAGTCAGCTAGCTATAGCTGGCTCACTATTTGCCTTTTTTGGCAGTCTGGTGGCTAGCCTTAGCCTCTTTTAGCCATAGCCTGTTAGCTCTCCACTGCCCAGCCTTACAAAGCACAGACAGAATGACAACATGTTTTTTAACTTCTCAGATTTAGATTTTTTAAGTGTTTTAACTAGTGAAGTTAGAGACAGAGAACAGAGGAGGGAGAAAAAGACCAGAAAAGAAAAAGGTGTTTGGGTTAGCCAGCACCATTTTGTTCCCTATTTAATCAACCAGATGTGATTATTAATGATACAAAATGGCTGCTGAAAGAGCTGTGAAGAGAAAGAAGAAAGTAGACTGAAGGTGGTTTTATGGACAAGTTATAAATCATTTTAAACTCAAAGGGCTCTGATTTTAAAATAATGGGAGTGTTATAAACCAAAGTCTTGTTTATGAGCAAAGAAACATGAAGCAGTGGCTGCAGACTAGCATTTATATAATATAGTTTATATTTGGTCAGCCAACATTAAAAGACAAGATTAAAAAGCTGTCTAGTCGCCTGGATAACATGGATGACAAATTTTCCAACATACTTTGCCACTGACAGACTACTCCTGTATTTTAGTAACATTTTGAAGGACTATATGTCAGAAGTAGCCATTTTAACTTATTCCAGATATGAGGGCAAAATCATTTCAGCGTGCTGACCAAATTCCAAGCATCAGGAAAAGACTCAGCTGCACAGAAATCACATGACACCAAAATATCTTCCATAATGTAACAGCATACAGTGGTGTTTGTTTAGATGACTGTTAAGTTTGGAGGGACAGCAAAGACAGCAGAGAGAGCTGAATGTTTATTCCCTCTGGCTGTTTGGAAAACAAAGCATCTCCAAGGATTTCACAGCTTTAAATCCTCAATTAAAATAAGAGAGAGTCTGTCCTAAGCCTGAAAGATTGGAGAGCCTGTATGTCTGGAATAACCAGGACATTTTATGACAGATCTTAAACTTTTATGTAACTGAAGCTCAGCAGCAGCAGTTATAGTCTGACGGTACCCTGCATATAGGCCCCGTACAGAGAAATGTGAGTCATATTTTAGGACTGCACACTAACACTGTGTTACTGTGCAGCTCGTCTGAAGAGGTCAACTGTTTATATAGAGATATATCCTTCTGGTCTCAGCATGTAGGTGTTAACGCTGCAGCAGTCAACCAAGACTTTAATTCCTACACTGATCAAGTGCTTCATTAAGACTTGACTCCAAGTGAGGGTGAAGATTAAAACAAGAAATTTTGATGAAGTCTGGAATAAAAAGAGGAAGAATCACTTCAGCCGACTCAGTAACTAACACAGTGATAGTGCTGGGTTAAAGATAGCTTCCGTTTTAATTCAGGGTTTCCGTAAAAGTAATGAGAATACTTATTCTTCTCCTTATCACAAATAATACCACCATTTAAAAGGGTTCCAGTCACACCAGTATGTTTGGCATGAATTGTAATCACTTGAGCTACATGTGCAGTTGTGGTGTAGGTGTCTCCTCCCTGCAGATCCTGTTTTCTATGACAGATTAATTAGTCATGTAATACACTCCATATTTCTGTTTCCCCTGTGGCAGAAAAACAAACACAACAAAAACTCCCATAGGTCACGCTGGGCCCCTTGCTAACACTCTTACTAGTTTAACAACATTAAGGCTGCAAACAACCAATCATGTGACTGGGGATCTCTGGGTGTGGAAGTCAGTGAGCAGGACTAGTGTTTGTCAATATTGGATATTTATATGACTTTTTGCATCAATTTAATTAAGAACTTGATTTGTTAGCTTCTTAATTCACTATTAATTGACCAAAAACAGGCGTAGCACTCTGGTTATTGTATCCATTAACTGTATACTTCCAATGTATTATATCATGATATAAATTGATGATATGAAACAGTTATAAACAAATTTATATTTATAGAGGACTCTACACTCTATACTCTGTGCCTCTATCTGGTGTGACTGGACCTAAATACTATTGAATAATATTGATTTATACTAGAGCTGATCTATAAGAGTTTGAAGTAACACAGCAGCAATATAGTTCAAGGCTGCAACAAAGTATGAGCTGAAATAATGAAATAAACAGATCCAAAACATACAAATGAGCAGTTAAAATAATGAGTAAATGAGCAGCAAACCGACTGGTAATATATTGATCAAAGTTCAGTATTGATTAATGGATCTATCAATGTGATTGGGGCAGGGATGGGAGGGGCGTTAGAAGATGCTTCTTATTTATTTACTACACTTTAATATTTATTAATCTAATCTACATATTTACTATGATGTGCAGTTCATACCGTATACTTGAATGTGTGTGTGTGTCGGGTGTATGTAGCAGCGTGTGTGCAATGTCGACGTTACGAGAGGTTTTTCTTAAAGCTTGTTCCCTCACACAAACACACATATATCTATATGAACACACAACCGTATCTGAACGCACTCTGAAAACCGGGTCACACTGGGACGAGGATGAAGAGGAGGAGGAGGAGGAGGAGGAGGAGGAGGAAGATCCCAGGGTTGGTCGTGTGCGCCATTGGCCCGGCAACTGTGTTGTAATGTAGCACACAAGAAGTGGACAACAGTGACGTGAAGCACAGAAGGAACTTCTAATGTAAAACACAGACACTACCTGCTCCGCCCATCTCAGGGGGAAGCTCCGCCCCCTCTTGAAGGAGGAGGAGGAAGTGGGGGGCGGTCCTCTTTGATGTTTTTGTTTGTTTTCTAAAGATTTGATTGGTTGGTTGGTTGTTTGTGTTTTTTTTAATTTTTTATGTTTTTTAGTGAGAAGGAGTGCTGAGAGTCGTAACTTTGTGCCTTCAGTATCATAGCCATGTCACGCCCACACAACACACACACACTCTCACACGCACACACACACATTTATTGTGGTGATGTCATGGCAATCACTAATTTTGGTGCAACTCACAATGTTATCTTGAAGCCTCAAGTTACCCCAGAGAGCTCCACCAATCAGATGCGTTCAATCGTATTTGATTAACAATACGTTAATATTATATATCAGAGCTGAAAGTTGCTTCAAATACCGATATGGCCCAGATGAAGCACCACATAGGCATCTTAAATAATAATACATTTTATTTATAGGCGACTTTCAAGGACACCTTACAACACTCAGTAAAAGATAAAATGCAAGTATATGGCATAAAATCCAAAATTAAAATAAATATAATTGCATAAAAGTAAATATGATAAAATAATGACTCAGAAGTAGTGCTCAATGACAAAGAACAACATAAATTCCCTTTGGCATTTTTACTTAAAAAAATTTCTGTCGACTAATCAATTAATTGGCGAACTGTTGCAGCTCTAGCTCAAAGTGTAGCATTTGAGTAATTGGAAGGAGATAAATAGTTCAAGCATTATGTTAATATTAAAAACAGCAACGTTCACAATAATACGTCATATTTATTCAAAAGTTGATTAAGACGATGCCAACACTTATCTGTTGATAGAGGATGAGTCGAGTGGCCGTTGTATAAACTTAGGAGGTTGGACACTCAACCATTCCAGTTGACTTGAATGCAGCAAAAGTAGCTAATGCTAAATGGTGGAGTCATTTATGGAAGCCCATTTCTGCCCAGACAGGAAAACAATCAATGAAGGATGCAGATAAAAATACAAAATAAATCGAAATAACTACAAGTAAGCATAAGATATTAAATTGTAATTATGAGAAATTTTGACGTAGTGAATCTCATTTTGATGAATTGATGAGTCAAAAATTTGACCAATTCCGAGACGTAATGCATCAAAATTTTGATTTGCTGTCTCAGTTTAAGAATTTTATATTGCGTTATCTTTCGTAATGTGTTATTTTGACTTGTAATAAGAGTCATCATTTTGAAGTCATGACTATAAATTCTATCTTATCATTTTTCCTTTCTGTCTCATAATTTTGACTAAGAATCTCAACATTTATCAACTTAAAGACAGTCCAGATTTTTATTTTATCATCTAATTTATGTCATTTTCTATTTAGAAATTCTAAATATTGACTTGGTATTATTGTTGTCATGCCTCACAATTAATCTATTTTGAAAATTTGGGGGCTTAAATAGAACTAATTTCTATTTCCAGACCCAGTAAAGCAGGCCAATGCACCAACCACAGACTGTAGCTTTAAACTGACTAACAATGACATCTTCATGTGTTTGTGTGTGTGTTTTGGGGTGACGGGGGGGTGGGGTGGGGGGTGGGGGGGTGTAACATGGCTGCACAATGTACAGACACATATCAGCCAACTGTCGCCAACTGACGACAGTTAGGCTAAGCTAACACTAGCCGATCGACTGCTAGCGTCTAGCCGCTAGCTGCTGCACTGATGTTTATATTCTCTACAGTGAAGCTAGCACTAGCCTACTGCTAACTGACTGCTAGTAGCACATAGCAAGTTTTTACCTGCTAGCTACAGTCGTGTTGAGCTCCTCACAAGTGTGCTTGATCAGGCTGTAAGCATTAGCATTAATGTGGTTTTAAAGAATTTTTTCATGTTGGTACCTCAGATTGCTCAGTTATCATTATTATTATGATTATTACTGTTGTCATTGTTGTGACTAACACCCAGGGCATTTGGTTGAATCTACCAAAGTGCATTCCTTTACAAAGCTAGCTTAAAGCTAGTCGCTCAAGCAGACAGACAGGTATAGGTAGGAAGTACAACAGAAAGCAAGTGAATAGAGAGGCAATCAGAGGAGAAGCAGCTGCTGCCTTTCAGATGATGAGGAGGAGAGAAAAACATGAAGGTGTTATGTTTTTGTTTTAAAAAAAAATATTAACAGACTGCAGTCACACAGGAACGTGAAGTCTGGTTTATCTGACCTCTTGGTAGGATGTGTGAAAGCAGCTGTAGCCTAGCTAGCCTGCTAGCTTGTTACCCTGCTAGCCAGTTAGCCTACTAGCTCGTTAGCCATTTAGATTATATCAGGAGGTCACAGCAGCCAGAGGTTAGCCACTGTTAGTGTGAAGGTGCGCTATTAATCTGTGATGTTTGCCAGCTGCGTTTTATTGTGGATTTTATCTGTAAATAATGTGGAAAAATGTTTGAATAATAATTTTTTTTTTTGGGTTGAATGCGCTGCTGTGCCACGCCGCGGCCAGTTTTACAATGTACTGTATCTACTGTACAGAACACAGAAGTTGACACTTTTCTAGTGAGCCTTTGTTAAATTTTATTGTGGTGGAAAATTGTTATTATTATTATTATTATTAATAAAACAGTTTTATTGTTCATCTTTATCTATTATTCTTTCAGTAAATCAGTGTGTAAATAAGGTACAAGTTGACAGTGGAAACAAGTTTAGAATTTGAAATATGGTATGTTTAGATTTTTTTTTTTTCTTTAAATCAAAATCCTATTGTAATTTGATTATATGGATTTTATGATAGCATTTTTTAGTTGTCAAGTCAGGTCTGCTTTTTATCTGCCAAGCTAACAAGGCATTTTTAGCTAACAAGCTAATGTAGCTATGTTATTATGTTAGCTTGGTGGCTTTTCACATAATTATTAGCTAAAATGTTATGTTACATTACATTAGCAAACTTACATGACTGTAGTTAGTACTTATGATAACCAGTTAAAGTTGCAGTAAATGAGAGGAACATATTAAAGAAAAAAATAGATACTTTTCTCATAACAAGAACTAGGTAAAGTGAAAAAAATGAACTTCTCCTTATTTTGAGATGGAAGAAATAATTACAGGTAAATGTGTCATATGTGTGTGATGTGTGTAAAATGTGTGCTAATGCCACA